AATGCATGCTCTGATCACACGAGAGCTATTTACAGTTTAACTTTGATTCTTTCATGCTATTTCCTCTGTAAGATATAATCCAATTCAAAGTTTTCACGTAAGTACTATACTGACAGTAACACAATCTATAATCTGTGTTAGTGTTAAAAAAAACATTGATCTTTCATTTCTACATGTCACTTGTACTGAACAATTACATCGACTACAGCTAATTCTGAACGGGGACTATGCATTATCAATGCTTGTTATTTTTGGAATATAACTACCAAGTAAAAAATTGTTTTGGTAAACTCAATTTCTATCGCTGGCCATTCATCGACAAGTGGTACATAAATACATGTCTGTGAAACATTTACTTGTTTCCCCGCTGGACAACATATGTTCAGTAATTTTTACAAGTTCATTTAAATATCGTCCGCTAGTAACAAGTAAAACAAAAATTGCTGGCTGGGAGATTTTCTATGGATTTAAAGTCCATCACTGAGACAATTTACTGCAAGTTATAGTGCCTTCACTGTCAATTAGGAATTAACACGAGAAATATGCTCAAGACATGTTTGTTACTGGCATTACTTACCTTCAAGAGAGGAAAGTTCAAAAAGCATGAGAAATTAGCTTTCAATTTTCAGAATAATAGTGATGCAAAAAAATTATGAATTTTACTAAAAATCCAATGAGAATGCAGCATGACCACTATGCTTACATCATTCATTTGGCAATTTGAGTACTTGTATTTGACCTTGTTCAACTCGCTTAGTTCACATGATACATACTGAGGAAATGATATGTACCAGGGTATTATTATTTGCAGGGAGTGATTGAAAAGTTGAATACCAGGAATATGTCAAACAGGGAACAACACAGTCTGCATACTGAGAAACCATACCAATGTAAAGAATGCAACAAGTGTTTTACCTGGAAATGCTACCTGAAGACACATGAGAATGCATACTTGTGAAAAACCATATGAATGTAAAGAATGCAACAAGTGCTTTACCGAGAAAGGCTACCTGAAAACACACATGCGAGTGCATACTGGCGAGAAACCATATGAATGTATAGAATGCAACAAGTGCTTTACCAAGAAAGGCTACCTGAAAACACACATGAGAGTACATACTGGCGAGAAACCATATGAATGTAAAAAATGCAACAAGTGTTTTACCCAAAAAAGTGCTGTGAAAATACACCTGAGAATGCATACTGGTGAGAAACCATACCGATGTAAAGAATGCAACATGTGCTTTACCCGGAAAGACGACCTGAAAAAGCACATGAGAGTGCATACTGGTGAGAAACCATATGAATGTAAAGAATGCAACAAGTGCTTTACCCGGAAAGACGACCTGAAAAAACACATGAGAGTGCATACTGGCGAGAAACCCTACCAATGTGAAGAATGCAACAAGTGTTTTACTCAGAAAGGCCACCTGAAAACACACATGAGAGTGCATACAAGTGATAAACCGCACCAATGTAAAGAATGCAACATACGTTTTACCAGGATAGGCTCTTTGAAAACACACATGAGAGTGCATACTGGTGAGAAACCCTACCAATGTAAAGAATGCAACAGACGTTTTACCAGGATAGGCTCTTTGAAAACACACATGAGAATGCATACTGGTGAGAAACCGTACCAATGTAAAGAATGCAACAGACGTTTTAGCAGGATAGACTCTTTGAAAACACACATGAGAGTGCATACTGGTGAAAAACCGTACCAATGTAAAAAATGCAACAGACGTTTTACCAGGATAGACTCTTTGAAAATACACGCGAGAGTGCATACTGGTGAACAACCATATCAATGTAAAGAATGCAACAAGTGTTTTACCAAGAAAGGCAATCTGAAAACACACACAAGAGTGCATACTGGTGAGAAACCATACCAATGTAAAGAATGCAACAAGTGGTTTAGCCAGAAAAGCAATCTGAAAACACACACAAGAATGCATACAGGTGAGCAGCCATACCAATGTAAAGAATGCAACAAACATTTTACCTGGATAGACACTTTGAAAACACACATAAGAGTGCATACTGGTGAGAAATCATATCAATGTAAAGAATGCAACAAGTGTTTTACCCAAAAAAGTGCTGTGAAAATACACCTGAGAATGCATACTGGTGAGCTACCATACCAGTGTACAGAATGCAACAAGTCTTATAAAAACAAATGCAGCCTGCAAACGCACATGGAAGTTCATATTGTTCACCAACGTCACAATATTAGGAAGTTAGAAGAAACAGGGAATGTTGGACATGTATTCCGTGTAATATTTATGTAGTGTACTACAGTCTGTGTCCATATTATGGTGGACATGTACATGTATTCTGTGTAATATTTAGTGTACTACAGTCTGTGTCTTTATTATGATGGACATGTACATGTATTCTGTGTAATATTTATGTAGTTTACTACAGTCTGTGTCCATATTATGGTGGACATGTACATGTATTCTGTGTAATATTTAGTGTACTACAGTCTGTGTCTTTATTATGATGGACATGAACATGTTTTCTGTGTAATATTTATGTAGTGTATTACAGCCTGTGTCCATATTATGATGTACATGTATTCTGTGTAATATTTATGTTGTGTACTACAGGCTGTGTCCATATTATGATGGACATGTACTTGTATTCTGTGTAATATTTAGTGTACTACAGTCTGTCTTTATTATGATGGACATGTACATGTATTCTGTGTAATATTTATGTAGTGTATTACAGCCTGTGTCCATATTATGATGGACATGAACATGTATTCTGTGTAATATTTATGTAGTGTACTACAGCCTGTGTCCATATTATGATGGACATTTACATTTATTCTGTGTAATATTTATGTTGTGTACTACAGTCTGTGTCCATGTTATGGAGGACATGTACATCAGGCCTCGAAATTAAAAAAAAAAAATTACTTGCCACAGGACAAGTAGATTTTT